CACGGAATATAGAATACAATGGAAGTAGCAAGTAGGCGTGGCACGCGTGCCACAGCTAAGCTGTGTACTGCTTACTCGAGGCAAAATTTGAGTTCAGTCTCGTTCGAACATGGCGTCGAGTTGCTAGTCTCGTGTCAAATACATATTTCCTCAACTATGCCGTTTTGTTCCGTTTTGGCGTGTAAAAATGATAGCAGCCGAAAAATCGTAAAAATGGAGGTGTTCCGTATCATCGGTAAGTACAATTTTTATTGTTTTCTTGTAGAAATCTTATTTTATTTCAATTTACAAAAACAGTTATTAAAATAATATTATTTACTAAAACGGTTAGTCAAAATCAACCTTACGCCTTCAAGATAAAGTTTATTTTGGATTTATTCCATTCAATAGAACATTCTCGCCAGTTCTACGCTACTCAAATAGTTATGTAGTCAAATCACATATTGAATTTATCGATTGATATCGATGCAAGTGTAATGTAACATTTATTTAGATTATTTTTTTATTATTATTTTAGTGGTGACCCCGACGTGATTGGAAGCAACCTTCACTTCACGGAGCAGATCAGCACCGTCATCCTTATCGCCATCCCTCTCATTTATCACATTATCCATATAAAGTTTGTAAAAATTTATGTAATAGTTGTTACTTATATTGCCTATGTGAAATAAAAAAAATGATTTTTTGAAAAAAGAAACTAATAAAAAATACGAACAAAATGGTTTTTGATTTACATGTAAATAAATACTTACCCTTTTTTGTTACGTTTAAAAAGTTATCAACGACATATTAATTTTATTATTTTAATACTGTCACACTATAGCAGTCAATATTTTTTTTCATATTATTTTTAAAACACATTTTCATATTATCGATATTATTTTTATCGAATTATCCTACATCACTATCTGAGTAGAGACCCGCATTCGAGCCAGTGATAAGCCATTCAAATATCACCTTTATTCTTACAACGTTAAAGTTCAAACCAAGTACCACTTTTCGTCGCTAGATGGCATTGTTAAACGCCATCTAGCGACGAATGGCGGTACTTGGTAGTCCAAAACATACTTTTTTATTTTGATTTATAGTACATTGGTTTTAAAGTTGCATATCGTATGATATTTTTTTTGCATTTCGTTTACGCCCATTTTTTTTCTAACCAATCGTAATTTCCGATTTATAGTATGAGTAAATTATAAATGTATTAGTTTGGCGACACCGGTTCTGGCAGAAATATTGTTTCAAGCTACTTCAATTGTATTCTATATTCCGTGCATATATTATACATTATATAAACCTTCCTTATGAATCACTTTATCTATCAAAAAAAACCGCATCAAAATCCGTTGCGTAGTTTTAAAGATCTAAGCATACATAGGGACAGACAGACGGTAGATAGCGACTTTGTTTCATACTATGTAGTGAAGTATTTATTTAATGTAAAGCTATTATAGTAACATTCTAATAGATCAAAAGTTCGTTCTTCCGACTGTCACGCGATAAGAACCGGTTACCGCTAGGCGCGCCGCGCGTCCTGGTGCGACAAAATTGAGTTCAATAATCTAAACTCGACGACACGCGCGAGGCGTCAACGCTCTTAACACTCATTGAGTTGATCTTGGCTTTGATCACACTTATTACTTACACTTATACAGCAAATATTATTTTTATCAATTTCTTAATCAAGGGGACACAGAAAAAAAACATTTTTTACAGAGAAAAGAAGAAGGGATACATGTATAATTTGTAGCGAATAAAAGAAATAGATAATATTTATCGTTACCTTGAGTACTCCTACATCAGGTACGTTGAGATCTCCGCTGTCCGCCTTACTCTGCGACTTACAGCTGTCTTTACTGAAAATATAATAATCCTAACTTAATATTTGTGTCTATTACCAATGGTAATGGTAACACTAGCTAACTCCTTGTTGGACGAAAAACTAGAGTTCCACTTTAGCGCCATGTAGACCAAAAATGGTAACTCCTATTGTGATATTTTCATAAAAACTGTATGTTGTCGTTGGTTTTTAGAAGTTTGAATTAGTTTAATATTTCCAATGCATAATGCGATGTATTCCGTGCGTGCAGTACCTGAGTCCGGTGTCGGGCGGGCCGGGCACGTACCGCGCCACTCGCTGCAGCAACTGCGGGGGGGTAGTGCCGCCCAGCTCACTCACCAGGCTCGCCAGCCACTCCTCCAGCACGTCGAAGGGAGGCCTGCAAGCATTATTAAACTAATTTTATTCACTGGTACAAATGTTTAGAGGCAAAAAATAATATTATACGTTTAATAATAAACTGTGGGAGAGCCATGATTCGGCACTACTGGGCGCGCTCGACGTCGACCAGGGTAGATAGGACTCAATAGGGTAGATGCCTAAATTTTATTTTAATGTATATTATTTTATGTACACGTATTTTTTATTTTCTTACAGAAACGAATACTTTCGACGATATATTGATTTAAAATGTCACGTAACGTCACTTCTATATACATTTTATACGTAGAAATGACGTTTGAGCCGCCACTCCTAAACTTTAAGTCGTTTGATCTAAGTATTGTCTTATTATACGACAAAATAAAAAAAATACGTGTCTAATATTTTTTCATTATCTAATTTACGGACTAATTCGATTTTTTTTTCATACCCTGTCATCATCCCAATTGCAATATTGGCGGAAAGAGTTGGAGTGGTTAACATACTTCAAGATATAATAATATGTACCTGATATCCGGATCCAGATGGCACGCAAGGAACGCGATCCGATAGAACGGCTCGGGACAGTTCGAGCTGCGACAGAACTTTTCAATGAACAGCGGTTCGTTGAGACCGAAGTCCGAGCGCCGAGGGAGGAAGTCCGGGTCTGCTGACACGCGACCTATTATCTGAAAATATAAAATAAATATATTTGTTGAAGTGGTTGATTGCTGGCTTAAATAAATTATGAGCATTTTTATAACATAATTTTATTTGAGAAACTTAACAAGCCACATTTCGACGCCATTCAATGCAAAAACAAAGTGACACCCAGTGACAAGTTAATAACTTCCCAGGCACACACCAGATGGCGTTACTTGTAACATTTGATGATGCTTAAGATTATAACATTTACATTATTACAACAATTTTATTAGATACTTTTCAAGAAACATTTGGCAGATGTAGTCCAAATAAATTGTCTATTTTCTATAACGAAACAGTACCTTTAGCCAAAAGCCACTTTAGCGCTTGTCTACAGAGAGAGTAGAAAACTAAATGTATGGGGATGACACTGACAAGTGTCAAAATTTCAAGTCAATCCCATATAATTTAGTTTTTTATTCTACATGTGGACAAGCGCTAAATGGCACTTGGCTACAGCTGCAGAACTATTTTGAAAATCCAAAGTACTTCCAAAATAATCTCTTGTAGCCGATTTAAGTTTAAGTACACAAAACACCGCTAATTAGTTCGCAGCACACATCGACACTACTATCATTTACACAATATACATGTGTGGGTAATTTCATATTAATAGATATGTCTAGAAACATTCGTCAATCACACACATCTTGGTATTTAAATATCATTTTCAACCGACTTCAAAAAAAGGAGGAGGTTCTCAATTCGACCCGTATGTTTTTTTTTTTTTTTCTATATTTGTTACGCGATTACTCCGCCAATTATGAACCGATTTGAAAAATCCATTTTCGGCGTATAGGTAATATCTCAAGGTTGGTCCCATTTAAATTTACTAATAAAAATAACAACCCCCAAGGGTGGAAAATAGGGGATGAATTTATTTATACGCAATAACTCCGCCGATTTTAAACCAATTTGAACGATTATTTTTTTATTGAATAGGTATTATCAAAAGGGTGGTTTCATGCGAATTTGAAGAAAATATTTCACCC